GGTTAATCTCTAATGTTCGATAGTAAAATTGGTTCTTGGACTTGAGGTCATCATAGTGTTTTATATGAGGGCAATTATGTTTTAGTGATGTTAGATCACTATACTAGAAACCACCTATGGCAATGCGCGAAAAACATTGCCATAATCTTTTGGCAGCGTTCGGGTGCATGTTGCGGGCTTTGACGTAGCCGTAGAGTTTCAACTATTGACAACGTTCTTCAAACGTTGCTGTAGAACCTTTTAACAACGTGGACCGCACGTTGCCGTAGACCTAGACTTACCGCAATGTTCGTTGAACGTTGCAATAGACTCTTTTAACAACGTGCACTGCACATTGCTGTGGACGTAGACTTTTGGCAACGTTCGTCGCACGTTGTTAAAAGGGTCTATTGCAACATTCGATGAACTTTGCCGTAGGCATTGACTTACGGCAACGTGCAGCGCATGTTGTTAAAAGACCCTTTTAACAATGTGCGATGAACGTTGCCGAAAGTCAATGCCTATGGCAACGTTCATCGAACGTTGTTAACAGAGTCTTTTAACAACGTGTGCTGCACATTGCCGTAAGTCGATGGTTACGTCTACGTTCGTCGAACGTTGTTAAAAGGGTCTTTTAACAACGTGCGCTGAACACAACTTTCCAAACAATACCTAAAGATAGAACCACCAATCACAATATTACATATTTACATAAAATTACCCAATCCACAGAAGAAGGAGATTACATATTTACATAAAATGACCATATGAAAAATCGAATGAGGTGCTAGGGTTTTCGAAATGGAAATTGTGGGATCGATTATTTAGGGATTTGATAATGGGCCGAATTTTAACAGGAGTCCGGATATAGATAAATGCATGATTCTCCAAAATACATCAAATAATCACAACAAAATTACCCAAAATATGTTTGAAGAAGAAGAGCAATACCAGTTTCAGTTATCAAGGTAAAATATGAGTTTTTCCGTTTGTGAAAACTCGTACGCTGAGAATCCGAGATAACCGGCTAGGATGAGCAAAAATCTGGTGACAAGGCCTCCAATATCAATATCAGAATATCGATATTGGGAAATCCAGGAATTCCACTCTCAAGCTAAATCCACCCAAGAATAAATGACTAAATCACAACTTTTATCCCCAATTTTCACTCAATCACAGATTGACAGTTAAACAAAAATCATTAAAATATGTCAAATTGAGGATAAGTTTGCAAAAATAAACAAATTGAACAAGTAATTAGAATCCAAAACAATTTCAAAAATAGCCCAAAAAAATCATAAATGAAAATCATAAAATAAAAGTGTTGTACTTGAAAATAAAATTACCTGCTGATTGTTGAAGAAGCCGAAGGTGAACTACAGAACAACTGGTGAACCGAAGTCTCTGAAGATCAGTGAAGGAAGATTCAAGGCCGTGAACTTGATCTTGAAGGCTGAAGCGGTGAATAGAAGAACAGAAGGTTCGAACTCGAATGCTAAATCGCTGATTCTGCTGAGCTAACTGGCTGACTGCCTGAAGAAGAAGACTTCGGTGTTCGGTTGTTCCCATTCGCTACTTTGTCGGATGGCGGACTGCAAAAGTATGGGTGAAACCCAGGGGCTGCTCTCTGCTGCTGATGAGCTGCTCAAACCGGAGTGAATCAATGATACTGTGATTGAAAGGATTTGGGAAAAGCCGAATTGGGAATTAATTGGGTTAATGGGTTTTCAATTGGGCTACTGGGCTAAATAGATTTCGAGAAGACGGGTTGGGCCAGGGACGCTGGGTAGTATATTAGGTCGTGGTTTTGGGCTTCCTATTTGGTCGTGGTTTTTGGGCTTCTTCATTGGCTGGGCTAGTTGGTAAGGGCCGATCTAATAAAAAAACATTGGGCCTTTGGTGCTTGGGTTAAGCTTGTTGTTAAAACTAAAACATCTAATGACAACATGCTAAGTCTGTAGCTAAAAAGAATTTATGGCAACGCACAATGCACGTTACAAAAATGTTAATGGCAACGTTCAACTGCACGTTGCTAAAACATCTAATGGCCACGTGCAATGGTCGAACGTTGCTAAAACTACTAATGACAACGTGCGTTGAACATTGCTAAAACATCAAATGGCCACGTGCAATGGTTGAACGCTGCTAAAACGACTAATGACAATGTGCGTTGAACGTTGCTAAAACTAATCTACTTCAACGCGCCATGTACGTTGCTAAAACATCTAATGGCCACATGCAATGGTCGAACGTTGCTAAAACGACTAATGACAACATGCGTTGAACGTTGCTAAAACTAATCTACGGCAACGCGCGTTGAACGTTGCAAAAGGTTAACAACAACGCGCATTGAACGTTGCCAAAAGAGTTGATGAATGATTAATAGAAGAATTGTCACTCTTAGATACTAAGAAATTATGATTTACATTTCATTCAGCTAAGTTGATGATGAAATCTTTGGTCATGTGTATCATAAGTCGAAAAGAGTTTTTGACTGACATTGACTTAATAGTGTGATGAAAAATATGATCAATAATTGAGATTACACGATTTATATCTCGTAATTGATTAGATTATATTGACGAAGAGATTGTAGTTTCACTGTAAACGAACAAGTTTGATTTTATCATACCTCGTGTCATTTTCCGTTACATGTATCGTTCTAACACATTGGTAGATGTCAATATGAGAAAACGAATGTGAATTAATAATAAATTTAAAATGAGTATTTTAATTTATTGATTGTGATTAGATCATAATAATAATAATAATAATTCATGTTATTAAATATCGTGATCGAAAACTTAAATAGTCAGACACAGAAGGAGAACTAGAAGAATGATGTCATTAATTAATTAATAGACAAATATTAGATATTTTTATAACTAATTAATTGGCTTGTTTGTTAATAGGTCCATTGCAAAATTAATTTATGGAAAAAGTTTAATTGATTAGATTAATTAAATATTGGATTAGATTAAGTTTAAGGGAAAGCCCACTTAAACTTCTATTAATAAACCGTTAGGATTTGAAAACACAACAAGACATTCATAATCTTACTAGCACAAGAAAAGAGAAACTCTATTCTTTCATCCTTGTTCCCTTATGTGGATTATCGTTGGAAGTTGAACAATTGGACAGTTGTGGTGTGTAGAGATCGTGATTGTTCATGTATTTTTCTCGGGAAAACACCTCAAAAATTTATTATTCTATGCAATTCAATTGTTTCGATTTGGGCTAAAATGATACATGAAATAAGGACGACCCAAGATATTCGACGCGAGACAACTCATTTCACTTGGGAGGTTAATCTCTCCCCTTCACTTTCTCCTCCTCCTGCTGCTCTTGCCTTAGTTCCATACTCAGCTTGAATTCTATACTTCAACCATGGCAAACTATAATCCTGTTGAAGTTTCCTCAATTCATTCTCTGCATTGTAACTTGCGATTGATGTATCCTAAGTTGACACTTTATGCATGTGTGCGCAATATACTTAAAGCACGATAAAGAAATAATTGTTCGGTTTACTTTGAAATAACAGAACAAATTTAACAAGTATTTCAAACAATCTTTTGTACTCATCAAAGGTAAATGAGAGACTATGTTGTAGTTGTACTATAGTCACTTGGCATCGCTTTGAAATTAAGGAGTCTAAATTCAACTTCAGGAGCATACATCAATAAACTGTATATGTGCAGAGCACAACCATCTACTGATTGCATTTCATTCTAAAATATAGAATAGTACTCTGCCTTTTACAAAACCGTGAGTGAAGTATTAATATGGGCACTGTGAGGAAATAACTCGACAGTCACATAGCAAGAAAATCATGAGGTCATGCAGCAGCCGGCTTTTCTTGCATTAGGGTCAGAATCTTGACCAGGAACAATGATTCTAGTACCCTTCAGAGATGCGAACTTCGCATAATCTAATCCATCACCGGAAGTGAGGGACTTCTTGTTTATGATCCAGTATATTTCTGTCAGAGTAGTCATAAATGCGCTTTCAACATTAGTCTTCTCGAGAGCTGATGTCTCCATAAAGTATAAATTCTCTCTTTCAGCGAACTCTTGGGCATCTTCAATCGGAACTGCTCGAAGAGTCCCTAAGTTGCACTTGTTGCCGATCAGCATATATAACAATGTTCTTATCAGCATGTCCCCTGAGTTCCTCAAGCCACCTGGCCATGTGATCAAAAGATTGACGTCTTGTCATGTCATAGACCAACATAGCACCAACTGCACCTCGGTAATAGGCACTTGTTACTGCTCGATACCTGAACCATAGGTCAAATGTCAAATAAATCTAAAATTCACAGTGAATCACAAATTCCATCTTGCAATGACTGCTCAAAAGTAAGCAGTCAGATCTTTCAAACAGCTACTCATGCTAATCGTGAATTCAAATAGATGTTGGCTCCACTCTGCTCATCAATTAGAAGAGTGGCATTTAAATATATGCTATGGTACTAACCAATCAACAGTGGCACTGCTTCAATTGATCTACATCACCCAAAAACTCTGAAAATATTCCCAAGCTTTTACCAGGGCAGAATTGTGGATCGTGGAACCAGCAAAAACACATGATGCATTTTTAAGCACATCACTTCCATAATTTGTCTTGTCTGTTAAGCCATCAGAGATTTCTTTGGACCTGGGGTCTTTTAAGGTATTTGCAACATAGACAAACACAATCATGGATATTAACTCTAGGAAAAAAAGAGCAAGGCTCTTGCAAAATAATCTCCCAAAGGTAGAGACATGTTTTTTTTTTTTGATAAGTAAAGAAACTTTAATTAAAAAAGGTCCCAGTGTACTAGAAAGTATACAAAAGGCAAAGAAATCAAAGAGTACAATGATCCAACAAATCTCCAAGAGATCCGATGGAAAGAGAACCCAAGCCTTTAACCCACTCAAACAATAAATAAAAGAAACTACTCTTCAACTCCGGAATGGAGGTCTCAATATCCTCAAAATGTCAAGCGTTTCTTTCCCTCCAAACACACCAAAACACATAGTGGGCAACAACCCTCCACGCCATAGAAGTCCTACTACTACTTCTACTAGGCCCCTGCTAACATGAGAGAAGATCAAAAACTGTTCTCGGCATGACCCNACGAAATTAACTAGAAAGGGTACAAAGTTTGAATGGACATATGCTTGTGAGCAAAGTTTCTAGGAATTGAAGAAAAGATTGACTTTGACCCCTATCCTTTCAATTCCATCTGGTACTGGGAACTTTATGGTTTACAGTGATGCTTCCAAAAGTGGTTTAGGATGTGTATTGATGTAAAATGCTAAAGTTATTGCATATGCATCTAGGCAACTTAAAGACTACGAAAATAATTATCCTACACATGACTTGGAGCTTGCCGGCGTTTTATTTGCACTTAAAATATGGAGGCATTATTTATACGGGGAAATTTTTTTTTTTTGATAAGTAAAGAAACTTTTATTAAAAAAGGTCCCAGTATACTGGAAAGTATACAAAAGGACAAAGAAATCAAAGAGTACAATGATCTAACAAATCTCCAAGAGATCTGATGGAAAGAGAACCCAAGCCCTTAACCCACTCAAACAATAAATAAAAGAAACTACTCTTCAACTCCGGAATGGAGGTCTCAGTATCCTCAAAATGTCGAGCGTTTCTTTCTCTCCAAACACACCAAAACATACAGTGGGGAACAACCCTCCACACCATATAAGTCCTACTACTACTTCCACTAGGCCCCTGCCAACATGAGAGAAGATCAAAAACTGTTCTCGGCACGACCCACTAGACCCCAAACAAAGCAAACACCACAACTCCTGAACTAGCTTGCAGTGCAGAAGAACATGGTCAGGACTCTTCCCACTCTCCCTGCATAAACAACACCAATCAACCAAAATAAGGTCACGTTTGTGAAGGTTATCCATAGTCAATATCTTCTCCAGTGCTGCAGTCCAAGAGAAGAAAGCTACTCGATGAGGGACCTTGGATTTCCACACACACTTCCAAGGGAAAGTTCTAGAAGATGGAGAGCTCAAGTAACGATAGCAACCCTTAACAGTAAAATCCTTAGCAATTGGAGAACCCCAACTAATCGAATCCTCCCCTCTACCTTGCACCGGAATAGAGTAAAGGAGCTCTATAAAAGAAGAGATGGACTCCAACTCCTAATCCTGCACACTCCGAGTGAAGAGCACATCCCAGTGAAGCATACCATTAGTGTGAGACATGAGAGCGGCAACTGACACATTTCTGTCTAGGGCGATAGAGAAAAGTTCCTGATAAGCCTCCTTCCGTGGCACACCCCCACACCACCTATCATACCAGAATCTCGCCCGAGATCCATCCCCCACCAAATAAAACAGTGAACGAAGGCCGGCCTTGGTAAATTGATTTCCATAAACTCACCCCATGAGAATCCCTCACTTCCTTAGTACACCAACCCCCCCAGTTGCTGATTTCTTCCATTCCAATCATTCATGACCTTTTCTGGAGAATTAATTCTGATTCTGGGGCAGCCAAAGATAAAGGAGGCAGTCATTATTGGGATAAGACTTTGGATGGTTTATTGTTATGCTTCGAATTCATGTTTCGTCATTTTAGTCCATGACAATTGATCAAAGAGCTATTGAGTAGCTATTCTCCAATTTGAATATTGGACAGCATTAACTTTAGTGAATACAGTGTTAAAGTTTCTTAGCGAAACATAATTTCAGCTATTACTAACTCTATCCCAAGTCCCAACCTTCATATAATACAAACTATACGGAGTCTAAAGAGATGTTCTAGTTGACTCTGCCTTGCAGTATTCTTCGTCTAATTTTACATCTGACTTAGAAAGGCCTCGCTTGTAATAAAGTATCTCTATAATAGTTATAGTGAGAATATAGGGCAGTGGTGATATTCGAGAAAGGAAAATAGGAGTCACACACTGCCAGGCTTCCCACTCAACATCCAACTGCAGTCGTAAACACTGACTGCATGTTTGATATGCAGTTTAATTGATGCGTAATAATAAAACCATATTAGAAAGTACAATGAATACTTTCTTTATATCGTCTAATATCATCTAATCCACTTCCTTAGAAGCAACACTGCCATTACTCTAGGAAATTAGAATTTCTGGCATAAGAATTTCTATTAACAATAAAATTTTGCAGTTGCACACCAAAAATTCTTTACTAACTAATTAGCTCCATAGCTGAACACCCCTTATGGACTAACAATAAAACTACAATGAAAATGGCAAGAGAAAGTGAAAATAATTAGTATGATTAACAAATTCAATGAAGTTAATTCAAAAAGAAGGTCAAAAGTCTAAATGACTCGAGAAGAAGAGGCAGGCAGGAACAAACCTCTCTCGGCCTGCAGTGTCCCAAATCTGGGCCTTGACATTTTTGTTATCAATAACAAGAGTCTTTGTCTGGAATTCAACCCCAATGGTAGCCTTTGATTCCAAATTGAATTCATTTCTTGCAAATCTAGCCAGCAATTGGGATTTCCCCACTGCCGAATCTCCGATCAATACAATCTTAAATACATAATCAATCTTCTGATTAAAATCCCCATATAAATTAGACATTGCCACCACGTTCTAAATCAAATGCTGTTATACACCTCCTTTTAACCAATCCTTCATGTATTCTGATTATCACCACATAACCTCGAAATATCTGAACATTTTCACCTTTTAATGGATCGAGTGGGAAATCAAATGACGTTAAAATTTCGTGCATAACAGAGAATTGCTTGAAAAAGTCACGGGTAGGGTATAAATTAGGGTTTGTTAAAAGGTTATCAATTTGAAGATTTGTTCATGGCAAGGAAGAGCATGAAAGAGATCAACGGCAAGTGCGGGACCTGTTAACCGTTTTTGTGTACAAAGTACCCCGATTTAAAATGTGTACCACGTGTGAACACTGATATCACATGAAATCTTTTTAATTCCAATTTAAGATAACATCTAGATTGGTAAATAAACTTTTTATTTCATGCCATTTTTTTTAAAAAACACTCCAAGAAAGTGTTAATACTATGGACTATGCTACTTTGTCAAGTCGGTAAAAGACCTGGCAAAGCAAATGTGTCTTGAGGGGGGTGGGCTATAAAACATTTGGGGGGTTTTTTTTTTAATGAAAAGACCCACCTCATGTGAGACAACTACTCTACCAGACCTTTTACAGGTCTGGTAGAGTAGCTTAATTCTAATACTATAGAACACAGTTGTACCGAAAAATAAAAATAAACTGAAAAGACGATTTACTTATTGCCGAAATAAGGGGAAAGATGTGCAAGTAACGATGATTTTACAGTGTTGACAAGAGCTTATTGGCCATTGAAGATTGGGGTGACCTCATTTTACTTGAACAAGTGATTGGGTTACTTTTGGTTGAGATGGATATGTTATACTTTTATCTTAATTTTGAATTATTTTTTGTTACCTTGTAAATATATGAGTTGGAGAAAGTTTTGTTAGTATATGATTTAGAGCTTTCGAAAGAAATAGCAACATGCTTGAACATAAATTTGGTTCAAGGATTCTTACTTGAAATGATGAATTCCAAGATCATTATGTGGTCAAATCACCTTACTATTTCTTGTCCCGAACTCTCTATATTTTAGCACTTCAATGATCTTAATTCTGATCACAATGGAATGTGATTTTTATCCACAATCTAAATGTTTTATATTGTGAGTTTTCGTGCCAAAATAGTGGTTTTAGGGACTTCCAATTTTGGTGCTTTTTTACATGCGAATTTCAAGATTTTTTTTTTCCATCATTTCTCTCACCTAATTAATTGACAAAAGTTATGGGAGTTGCAGGAAGTTATAGGTGTTAATTCACTCGAATCCATTTTAATATCTTGTGGGGTCGGGTCACTTCACATTGGCAACCCATGATTTGTGTTTTTTAACTTCTCCCACTTGCACTTGATGTACTTGACCAAAACTATACGTGACAATGAATATCAGACGTTAGATTCTTCTCAAGGTCTATCTCACAAAGAAATCATACGACAAACAGATCGTATGACTAGCAAGTAATATTAGAGCTCACGATACTATAAACCTGTTAGGGATATATAGTAGATCTACTAGAGGAACGTTAATCTTGCTATACCCCAAACTCATTTTTCAACATTAATTCAAGTATTTATGAACATATTTTAAGTCTACATTGTATCATTGTATTTACAATTATGTTCAATACTCTACATGGTTAACACAATTCTCCTATTGGTGAATATAAACATAAATGTTGGTCAAAATAGTTTTCCTTTCCTACTCAAATCCTTCAACTTCAAACGAGCTACTTTCCTATACATGTTCCATCAAATCGATTCAATCATAGTTATTGATAGCATGCTAAAGTAGTAACATCGAAATAAAATCTCGAGAAACAGTCAAAACTCATAAGCGTATATATGTGGTTATATAAACCTCAAGTTCTCACACAGTGAAGAAGCGGGGAACCATTCGCTTGTTTACTCAATTTAGTCGTAAAAGCACACGTGGTATAAGACATGTGTTACGGTATTTTCTCCATTTTAGGACGTTTGTCATTTTCTATAAAAATTTAATATACCGTATATATCCTAGTTTAAGTATTTCTCGATACCTAATTGAGTTATCCTTATGTTCATTCCTATAGGAAATCTCAAATTGAGAACTCGGCCGACTACTAAACATGTTGAATGGATAGCAAAAATTCATTTCAATTACTTCTAATAATCCCATCTTTATATTTCACCAAGGCGATTGGATAATGTACAAAACACATAACTTTTTCTCTAAGTACATCCCAAAATTATCTGAGGCGATTGTTCGTAAGAATGAGCTACTCTCAATCTGTTCGACATATTTTACATGTGAATGAAAATCATTATCTCGTAATTCCAACAATATATTACTTACGAACTTAAAATTGTTCACCTGTCAACCTAGAAATCTCAATCAAGATTTTTTTTGATGCACAAAGTAACATATTCTATGGAGTTCTAGATATTTACATTACTAATGAGTATATCTCTAACATCTTCAGATTATGATGATTACATATCATCATCATGTGAGTAAATATATCGTAAAGACATTTTCTTTGCTAATATATCTCACAAAAATATCATCAAGTGCTTGGTTCCATCATATTACTTGAGATCTTCAGTACATGAGATAATTGTATAACTATCATGGATCTCATATTTTCAATTAGATGCTCAATACATCTATACCAAACAATTTCTTTATCACCGAGATGTATACTACAAGATATGCTTCTTGTTACTGTATATAGCTAAAGTGCACAAGTCTAACAATTACTTGTGCTCGACTAAACCTTATCCTTAGTCGACATTTGCATGTCTATTCCAACCACCTTTACAACAAATAGAATAACTAACAATAATACCCTTCAAGTGCATCAATATCCTTTGTAAGAATAACATTGAAATCTACTGACTAGATCCATGGCATGTCAAATGTTAGGGCAATTATATATCGTAGCATACTTCTAACTCCTAACCATACTAGGTATGATTCTTTGGATATTTCTTTTGTACTTATATGAAGACTTATATGGTCGCCTTCTAATATAGGAGTATCAACAGTGTACCAATTTTACATGTAGAAATATCCTAGAATCTTTATTATATGTAACTCTTGTGACGGAGCAAGAAAACTAGAATAATTTTTTAACACAAAATATACAATTTTGCTAAACTCATGTCATTCGTCTCAAAGATTGAGGACAATCATTTTGAAAATGGTCACAATACACTCATTCTCATCTTAACAAATCCAATGTCATCAAAATTAGAATTACAATCTACTGTCATATTTTTACATAAATACAGTGACTTTCATCCATATGACAAAATTTTTACGAGATTTAAACTTTGTTAAAACTCAAGAACCACTGTCAAGATAATTGTATTAGACCATGAATGTAACTATAAAGTTGTCACAATATTAAAAGGCTTTTAACATGAAATTTACAAGTCGAATCATGTGAATCTCTTCAATTAATTCTCATTTGAGAATAAAACTACAATATTTAGGTCTATTTGGTGTAACTCCAAATTTGAATACACTATTATGGCCAACATAGGCGTACAAAAATGAATCTCACTGTAATAAAAATAATTTATCTTACTCAATACACTCATATTGAGTATAACATTTTTCCAAAAAAATTAGTTTTATCTATCATAAATTCATTAGTTTTCTACTTAGTTATCAAGAACTTGAATGTTCTCAATAAACTTAATGTCCGATTAGAGCTTCCACCATATCCCAGATTATGTTGGAATTCTCTAGTCTATATATACTTCTATCACTTTCCTCAATTTTTCTCTTTGCACTCATATAAGTAAGGGATTTTCTAAAGCAAGAGTCGTTGAAAAATAATAATTGAAATTAGAATGCTACCACTAGAAAATAGATTACTCCCATTTGAATCAGAAGCTCAAAACAACTCCTATGTCGTTAAAGTAATTCACCAATACACATAATATAAATTTTACAAATATTTCCAAACCTTTCACCTTTGATAGGAAAAATGTCAAATGCCACATCTCGTGATTCAATATCCATCCAAAATCTCACTTAAAAAAGTACCCTTTGGACTATCATATGCACCTCATAGAGATACATCTTGTTCTTAACAGACTCATGTTTTCAAACTCATTTGGAAAAATAAAAAACTTACACAGTTCATTATGAGTCTAAGATAAACTATATTTGATTATCTATATGTCCAAAGCTTAAACAATTTTGAAGGTACCAACATTGAGAGAACTCCACCGAGTAACATATTGCAATTAACTAACAATATCTTCTAAAAGAAAATAAGTAAGTTGGATTGCATTATTTCAGACCTCATCAAATTTAACATTACTCCATTCTTTCTATCCAATACACACATATAGTTTTGATGAACAAGGAATAGTCAATCCAGTAAAAATTTCTCTTTCATTACTTAAATCATTAAACTATCGTGATAGAGATTCACGTTCTTAAAGAGTTCTCAAAGTCTTTATTGCCATTATTTGATTCCTACTCTACTTGAGCAAAGTCTAAATTAATACAATATCTTCAACTTATGAAAATCAGAAATATATTTGAAATGCGCGAATCCATCAATTAATATAATGAAAATACGAGGTTTCATCTCTATATCTCTTAATCATTGCCTAAAAAAAATTCGGATAGACTTAGAGTGTGCTTGGTAGGGATTTTTGAGAGAAGAATTGATTTTTGAATAGTGATATGATGGGAAATGTGTGGTTGAAAAAGAAGAAAAAAGTATTGATTGGATGGAAAATATTATTTTATTGAAAAATGTGTTGTTGAAAATGAGAATTGATTTACTGTAAAAAATGAGAATCTGTACCAAACAGGCTCTTAATATATGGAAATTTAGTTTTTTTGAATGATTTTCACAACTGAAAACCTCAACCATTACACAAATATCCATAACTAAAATGAACATCACAACTATGAGTATGAATAGAACTACCACATATAACTTCATATTAGAGACCACTCTGAGAAAAACAACAACTAAGATAATTTTAGTTGAGT